TACACAACACACACACTGAGCTGATGGTGGGTCTGGTAAATGCGTCAGCCGGCAGTGCTTGAGGTCAATAATCACAGCCACGCGCACACGCACACAATCGACAAAACAGTGGTGATTCTCGCACCCAAAGGTGTGGACACAGTGTGCCATGTAAAATCGGTCTGGCTGCTCGCCAGATGGTGGAGCACGTGGTACCAAAAAAAGGAAGGGAGGGGGGGCGAGCGGGTAAGTGAAGTCCAACCTGAGCATCAATGACGAAGATGAGAGCACAGGAAGAGGTAAAAATTACGTCCGACTGGAACATATTATCACAAAAGTCAATGTGACCGGGAAAATCCCAGATCTGGAACTTGATGAAGGAGCAGTCGGAAACATCTGAAGAAAAGGTCGGAGGTCAGGCTGATTAGGGGGGCGGGAAAACAGTTACCATTCTTTTCAATTTTATTGGTGCTTTCCAGGTAGAGGGTTTCGGTGGGTGCCATTTTGTGGAAGACCACCTTCTGGATGGAGGACTTGCCACTCCTGCAACAGACCAGAAGGCAGGATGTCAGGTGAATGAAAGACAGAGAGGGCGGGGGGGAGGTAGGACAAGGTGTGCGTGCAACTAACCTTCGTAGCCCCATTAAAAAGATTTTTGGTTTCTCATCCAGCGTGCTGCCAGAGTCCATGATGAAGTAATTTGTTAGGCTATCAGTGTCACGGGACGTGGCTAGAGGAGACCAATCCGGAGGAGAGTCAAGAACAAGGAAGAACGGCTAGCCGGAGGCTGAAAGTAAAATGTGACCGAAAAAAAGAGGATTCAGTGTTTGGGGTGGTGTGTGTTTGTGTGTTTAGCCTTCACAGGTCCTTTTTTTTGATCGCTTAGGTAAGACAGTGGGAGACTGACACTGACCGGTCAGTCATATCCGGCTCAGAATTGTACTAAAACAGTTGGTGTTCATGTCTGGTCTTCCGCAGTCTATGGTTGTGTTGTTACTGGTTCCGGGAAGACGGGTTCCCGTAAGTCTAACGACTGTCTGTGCAAGAATCCCCACGTACTTACATTTACTCTTTTCGGCTGTGATCATGCCTGATCTAGCCGGCCTCAATGATACCACGGACGGTACCCCGCCATGCGTGACGATTGACGGCAGGCAGCGGATATGGAAAGCGCCTCTCTTCCCCCCACCCTCTTCTCCATCAACGGGAACCGAAAACTGAAGCTCCGATAACTTCTAGCATTAGAGTGTTGGCCGTGCCAGCCACCTACGCCCTTCCCAACCTCCGGTTTTCTCGA